CAGTTTTATTTTGGAAACATACTGTATAAAACACATGAAAATAATCTTAAACTTTAGTTTGCAGTGTTTGTGCATGGATGTATTGTTAAAAACCTGTAGAACTGGCAGAAATGGCTTTGCAATCAACTTCAATAAACTACCACATGTTCAATATTGTAAAACAATAGTTTTATTTTGGAAACATACTATATAAAACACATGAAAATAATCTTAAACTTTAGTTTGCAGTGTTTGTGCTTGGATGTATTGTTAAAAACCTGTAGAACTGGCAGCAATGGCTTTACAATTAACTTCAATAAACTACTCAAAATTGTAAAACAGCAGTTTTATTTTGAAAACACTTGTATAAAACACATGAAAATAATCTATAGTTTCTGTGAAACAAGTTTTACTAATGTATCTTATTACAAGAGATTTGTACATTTGTGCAGTGAAAATGTGTTGAACAGTTTGAGAATGGAACCTGCAACAGAAACCATGTCGGTGGTAAAGGGTTATAGGAGCATGTGACCACCGGTCTTGATTTTTATCGACAGCCAGAGGCAGCACTAAATTTGACAGAGACAGTCGCCTTGAAATTCTTTATGCAGGAAAAACCCTGCCTTGAATGAAATGCATTTAATATTTTAAGTATAAAATGTTTCTTCAAATTCTGATAAAATGTTAGAACCAACAGCCTTGGGCATATTGCGTGGTTGTGCTTCGGGGTGATCCTTGAAAGTGTCCCAGCTCTAGGTCCTTTTTCTGATGCCGTCCCCTCCTCTCTCTCGCACTTGTGCGCTTTTTGTACTGTCCTGTATAAATAAACACCAAAAATAAATACTCATAAAATATCAACTTTGATATTGTGAAATATCTTTTACTGAAAACTGAATGCAAAACAAATCACATACAATATTTTCACTTTACTGTTCAATAACAGTGGGGTTGGAAACAAAGTGCACAACACTATTCATTAAACACCTATTTAATGTATTCAGATGAAAGTTTATACTTTACTATTTTTGAAAGGTAATAAAGATAGCGATTTTCTTACCTGATTTTGCCCGTATGTTTGCAGAACCTCGTAGATCACATCTGACCCTTCCTGTGTTCACATTCCAGTTTTTGTTCTCCACTGACATGTCACGACTCAAATTCGCTCAAAATAAAAATTTAACAGGCAAATATTAAATAATTCTGGACTGGCCGAGCAATCTTAACGAGCAGCAGCTCACAGTCAGCCGCATCACTCAGAAAGACGATAATGGTCATATTTTCACATTTGGAAAGGCGCGCACAGTTTCATTGGCCAGTTTCCTGGATGACAGCCAGATTAACCAATCACGATCAAAGCAATGGTAAAAAAACCAATAGGGAATTGTTTCGGCGTGGTAACGCAGCGAAATGTATTTAGTTTTATTGTTGTTAATGATGATAATATTTTAACATATACCTTTAGATTTTAGAATAGGTTTCATGATCAAAATATTGTAAAATGCTAATAAAATCATAATATTGAGCTTAATAATAATTTAAAAGTTACAAATGATTTTGTATGCTGTTGAAGACATGTGATTCAACGTACAGATCTTGTAAAAAAAATCAAGGTTGATTTGTAAGTGTTTTTGTTAACCTTTTTCAACCATTTAGCATTAAACATTATTTCAACGTTGTTTCAACATTGAAACAAGAACTGACCTTATTTCAACCATATTTCAACATTGAAGATCTGTCATGTGTCGGCTGCGAATGAATGGCAACTGTAAAAAAAAACAAAAGCCGAATCCCAGACATTTTGGGCGATTTAGAAATCCCGGCCGGACGCATTTTTTATGTCCGGGGAAAAGAGGACGTATGGTCACCCTACGATAGCGTAACAATGAACGAAGCACAGCTCTCACAGAAGTCACTTTCAATGAACGAAGCACAGCTCTCACAGAAGTCACTTTCAAACTATGCAGCTTTCTGTTGGTCATCAGTGAATTTGTGTAACAAACTATATATCGTCTGCGAAATTTGAATGAATAACATTAAGTGTGACCACACCTTATCGCGCTTATAGGGACGTCACAGCAAGTTGAATAGCATTTCTAACCAGCATGCACCTGGCAGTGATCAGTAATCACGTAGTTTACTAATCTCAAACAAAGCCCATTTTCAGGTCCATCTCATGTGCAATGACTGCCATGAGCACAGCAGGACAAACTCCACTCCGAGAGCCCGTTCTCGGATCAACGACATTCTCAGGGTCACACAGAACAGGAAAACCAGAGACTGAGAGGTTTACGGATGATTTGAGTGAAGAGACAAACAAAAGGACATAGAGAGAGAGCAAGAGAGAGGGAGAAAGATCATTAGAGCTTCTGGAAACAGTTCAAGTCATTCTCATGTACGAGAGGCATCCAGAGGGACTGTTGTGTAGGCCTTGGCAACAGCGGTTCCCCCGGATCTGCAGGTGGGTTTTACTTCAGTCTCTATCAGTCTCCATGGGTAACGCACTCAAAAACCATATTGTTTTCTCGTCTTTTCAAGGGTGCGTTGCGGAAAAAGTTTCAAAATCGAAGGCCGCTTCATTCATGATTTATGTCACATTTGATGCTAGTTTGATATCAAATACAAATACATCTTGCACTAGTACAGTGTAAAACCCTCTCCAGACGAAAAGGAAATATGGAGCAGGGGTTGGTAGAGGTCACAGGTCTGGGGAATTGAGGGCCTGCGGCCTAGTTGACAGGGGAAAATATTTAGTAATCTCCAGGGTGCAGCTCGTTCAAATTCAGCACTGGTTTTGCTTTACTCCCAGGACAAGAATTTGGCTTCGATTTCAATAGCTTTTCCAGATGTTAATTTTGCTATTTTTTATTTTTTTTACTCTTTTCCCCTTTTTTCAGTGCAGTCCATTTTGAATTTTTGAATACCACAATTAACATTCATAAATCACGTCAGGGACACTTCCCCTTCAATCACAGGGGAATGTTATGGGAAGGTACGATAACTCACAGCAAAGTGAAGGCTTATGAAAAATCTTATGAAAAAGTGTCTTGATTTGGCCAAACAATACATTAAAGATAGGAATTATTATTGATTGGTTAACTTGGAAAGACAAACCCATGTTAATCATCCAAAAACACTCCATCTGAACTCAAAACAAATACAAATCACAGAAACACCTCAACGTCAACATGAAAAAGTTGCTTTCTGATTAAAACTCATAAGGAAGGAAATTAAACAGTACATTGATATATATCCAATGCACTTTGTTTCAATATTTGTCTCAACACAAGTGCTGTCACGCATGGATGGAGGCAGAAGAACAGGAGGGGAACATGATACCTCGGAGAGCGCGGCACACGACCCTGAGATGACCCTGACATAACCGTGGTGAGTGAGAGACAGAACGCAGAGTCTCAGAACACACTTACAGGTCAGCCGCTAACACAGCGTAAACAATCATTCAACCCCACGGCTTTCTCTGCGACTTCTCTCTCTCTCTCTACCTCCCAGTGTTTTCCTACATTTCTTTTTTGCTGCTGTCTTCTGGGGCTCCATGTTGTCAGCACCAGCAGTTTCTACCAGGTAATTGATGGGTGTAGAAAAATACGTTCTAATTTCACCCCATCAGCTCCTCTGTTTCTTTTGACAATAACTCATATGCATGCTACATTCATACTCACAACAATTAGACATCCATCTTGTCCTTTCTTTCTTTCTTTCTTCTTTTTTATTCTAATTATGTGAAAAAGGCAACATTGTAAAATAGAGAAAAAAAACAGCTGCTGAAACAAATGTTAAATAAAAGCTGCACTTGAGTTCTTACAACTTGCCGTTCAGTTGACCATATCGTTAGATTCATGTTTGCAACGTTTAAAAAAATTAACACGTTTTAGAAGTACTGATAATTTTTAATATTGTTTTAGTGCTCTCAAAATGGCATTGCTCTTTCAGTGTTCTGGATATTTAATGCAGTTGCTTTACTCCAGTATAAAAAAAATGGAACTTTAAAATGTGGATTTTATACCTCAGATGTTTTGGTCTTCAAAAATGATGATGAGAAAAAGATGAGTTCATGTTGAAATTTGACCGCAGACTTCGGCATATCGGCAATTTTGCACACAGTTTTAGACATTGCTGAGATATCTTTGTGAAACTCTAGAGGAAACATCTGTGAGATTACCAGGGTCTTTTTCTGAAAGGGAAACATTTTGTGGATGACAATGGTGGATTTTTGCAGAAACTATGTTTACCACTGTAAATTTTCATATCCCTTTTAAGGGTGGATAAACAAGCACAAACAGTGATGATGTTCCTGATGACATTTTTGATTTTCTTGATCGTCTGTGAAGACCTCGACATAAAACTAAGGAACCTCCCGAATCCCTCGCGCTGAGAATTGACAACAATCCTTTCAGCCAAACTCACAACAGATTAAATAATGCATGACAGATGCTGTATTCATGCTCTCTCTCAGCTCTATCACTCTGACCTGTCGGATTGTCTCAGGACACTTACCAGAGGCTGAAAGAGAGCCAAGGCTCTTTATGAAGTCAGTTTGGAGTGAATTACATGCAGAATGGCAAAGAGGTGATTATTTTTTAGCTGTTGGCCTTCGAGGTGAGCAGGGAGAACTTGCTGATAGCCAAACAACTTCATCTGCTTACATGATTATAATTGCTGCATGTGGGACCGCGAACGGTGAGGCAGACACCCCCTCCTCTGCAATGCCCTGGGTAATACACACTGCTGGCAAATGATTGGAGAGAGCGAGAGCAAAATGTTATCATTAACGGCTCATGTTGCATGTAAAGACAGGAAATATTAAAATAAATAAAAAGTAGAATGCATAATCTACATAGAGATTTTAATCAAAATAATTAGCCTGGCCACTACAGGGACCTGTTTTGACCTTTGTGCATTAGAGCGATTAAAACCTCACCTGTGTGCTGAATCTGAACCAGTATGCCTGCAGATACAAGTCGAGGGAATAAAATACCACTATGGCTTTTGTGCAACAGTGATTGCTTTTGACAGAAAGACATGGCTAGCATATCAGAGCGGTGTACACTTAGTTATAGCTAATCTGTAAATGACCGCCATTTAAACTCAAACGTTGTACTATGGGCATTGTGTTAATGCTGCTGTCTGCAAGTGTATAAGTGTGTTTTCTCACAAGCAATACATATGTACATCAATTCTGTCTTTGTCAGTATCACTGACACTTGTGTATGTGTGAGTGTGCATTTCAGCTCAGCGATATACATTATAGGCCAGTTAAGCTTTATAACATTACACATCTGTTTAATCAGCAGCTATTTCATGGCTAATACAGTTAAACCTGCTGTGAGATTCATTTAACTTTAACACTAAAGAATAGTTAAGCCAAAAATGACCATTTTGACCTGACTTTTTCCTATGCTGATTGATGATGTTTGGTCCCGTTTTTGATATATGGGTTTAAAACGAGAGCAAACAACTTTTATAAATCAAACTTTTTCCGATAATGTTTTTTGTTTGTATATGCTTATATTTTTTACTTTTATCTGCCATTATACTGTTGATTTTGAATTTAACTGTTAGATTAAAATTGCAAACATTTAAAGGAACAGTTCCAAACATATAAGCATCATTATTTGTTCCACGGAACACAAAAGGAGAATTTTTAAAAAATGTGAATGGGATTTAAAAAATTTTAGACTGACCTAAATTTGAGGTCATTTCCTTACATTAAAGTATTATAAGACTTTAGAAGTCTTGAAATATTCTGATAAAAGTCTTCTATTCTATAAAAGTCTTATGGACTAGTTTATGGTGCTTCGCCTGTTGATTTTCATCTGTTTTAAGGCTTGAAAAAGCTTCTCTGTTATTATATGGACTATAGCTGGCTAAAGATCCTTAATTTCTCCTTTTGTTTTTCAAGGGAAAAAACTGCATTCCTGTTAGGAACAATATTAGGGTGAGCAAATAATGACAGAATTAGAATTTTTAAATTTTGAAGTACTCCTTTAAATGACTAACTGCAATTTGAAAATTGTCCAAACCTAATACTAAATCAGCAAATAAAGAAATAGATAAAGTGTGGGGTTGTGAAAAGTTCTATGGTTTTACTTCTAAACTGTGAGCAGATATCAAAAAAGAGATTTTCAAACAGACCATCAATCAATATCTAGGAAAAAGTCATGATCCTTCTGGTGGGAAGAAATGAACCACCCAAAGGCACTAAGAAAACAGTTACACACTCAGAGTACTTCAACATACACAATTGTGCTTAAGAAAATCATTTCACCACCAGTTTATTCAATTATTTGTCATTATATTAAATAGAAATGTGTGAAACAGCAAGGGAGTTGTGGTAGCCTATATTGTTTAAAGGAATAGTTCACCCAAAAATGATTCCGTCATCATTTATTCAACCCTCATGTTGTTCCAAACCCATATAACTTTCTTTCTTCTATGTCAGAACTATCTCTGAATTGTTATTTCTAAGGCTGTGGGTTCAACCTCAAGCACTGGTGACCTTAAAGTTGTGCCTCTGTGTTTAATGACTAGTTACTCCAGGACACAATCCTCAACAAGGGAGATGTACTGCCCTAATGGTAAAGGACTTGGATTACAGCCACAAAGACTGCAAGTTCAATCCCAAGTACGGTTGGCCCAGATATTGCTTTAGAAAGAGTCATTTAACCATTGGTCGCTCCAGGGCAATGTCCCTTCAAAAAAAAAAAAAAGAGCTGTCGTAATTGAATTGTTAAGGATCTAGGCTGACACCACAAAAGTTTCATTGTCAATCCCAGGTAAGGATGACCTAGAAACTTCAAGTTATGAGGCTAAATTTAACATTTTCCTCCATCACTATTTTGAGCTGACATCATTATAGTGCAGGCGAGCGTGTGTGCTGATACAATGGGTTACCTGATCTGGGTGTGGGAAAAAATGGCGTCTTAATCTTAGATCCCAGAGCACTTAAAGGGGTCACACACACAAGAAATCTAAACACAATACATAAATAATTAATAATAATAATTAAATAAATATATATTAAAATGACAAAAACACTTAAAATATAAAATATTTGACCTCTCTTTGACCTGGTGTGGGTTTACTGACAAGTCCAATATAGTTTTTTATCTACACATTAGTCAATAACAGTCTCTTTGCAAAACCTGAATTTTATTGTAAAAGGTTCACAAAACAATCAACGCTGAAATGTGCAGCTGAATCCAGCAAGGTCAGATTGAAATGATATGGGATCTAGCTAAAAATAAATTTCAGCCACTCAATGTTAGGATTCTTCAAGAACAGCACAACTATAATCATTTGTTGTGTTGTTTAGGATTAATAGTATCCTGCTTGTAATTTCACTGTAAAAGGATTAGACAGTTTATTAACACTGAATAGTCACTGCTGTCACATATTAATGTGTTCATCATTCTGACATCAGACAGTTGTGGAATTATAAAATAAACCCAAAAACTAAACCAGCAGCAAATACCATTTGATTTGTTCTAACTTCTTGACTGGTCGCTTGCGAGTTTGAATCTTGTCTATGTTTGTATTTAAATGAGTAGTTAACACTTTAGTATAGGGACCAATTCTCACTATTAACTAGTTGCTTATTAGCATGCCTATTACAGTTTTTATTTCAACTGCTTACACACAAAATCTTTACTAGTCTCACAATTTCTGAAACCTGACACTCAAACACCAGAACCACACACCAAATCTGCAAAACCATACTCTAATTCTCGGCCTTTGACTCGGCAAAACACAACACACAATTCTCTATGTAACACACAAAAATCTAATAGATAAATTCTAATTTAAAAAATCGAATAAATTAACAGGAATTAATATTATGGCAAAGGTGTTTGCAAATGTTTGCTTTTGAGATGTGTTTGTGATATTTTGAATGCAGTGCTTCATTTTGCAAGAGATGTGAGGCATTTAGCACTTTGTGTGTGCAATTCTTGGATTTGTGTGTAAAGTTTTGAAAAAAAGAGGCAAAGTTTTGAAAATGTGTGCATGTAGTTGAAAAAAATTGTAATAACATATTGGCTCTTTATTAGAACTTATACAGCACATATTCTACATCCCTAATCCTACCCAATACCTAAACTTAACAACTACCTTACTAACTATTAATGAGCAGCAAATGAATAGTTTATTGAGGGCAAAAGTAATAGTTAATGGTTTGTTAATAGCAAGAATTGGACCTTAAGATCAGGTGTGACCAATGAGGATCTCTATTTGCAATCTTTTAGCTTTATATTTTCATTTTTTTTCATTTGTCCACTCCATAAGGGCTGTGAGTTTGGCTTTAGTGTTTATCAAGTATTTTTGTCTTATCCATAAATCTTGTTTGTTTTGTAAAGTTGCACAAGAATGGCACCATAGAAGCAGTAAAGAACAAGCCATTTTTACAGGTACTATTTCAGTTAATATATCTACTAGAAAAGGTATTGTCAGAACACTGATTCACTAAAAGCTTTTTCAAGATGGAAGGAGCACGAGCGTCCCATCCTCTCCTCCCTAATCACCATGTGGGCTTTGATTAGCTGTGGCAGAGGAATCATGGGTGGCAT